AATATGAGTCATGCTGACATCGTGGAAGCACAAGCGATGTTGGGCAACAATGCGCTCCTCAGCCTGGACTCAGCCTCTGAAAATCTGATTACCCCCAGCTTGGGCTTGGGTGAACGAAACACATTGACCATCAGCCAAGGCTCACCATCATGATTGTGGATTGCACCCTGTGGCCGGGCCGTTCTTTGCTTAATGTGCCAAGAGTCTTGCGTCCCATTGTGTTGCCTTGCTTTCCGCGTGCCCAGGCCAGCTGACAGTGGACGAGGCCGTCAACCTGACGGTGGCGGTTTCATCGGGCAATGCCAGAACATTGGCGTTCTATCTCCTTCCCCAAACCCACTCCTCGGCCGACCGGATGAGCACAATGAAACACAGAAGGTTGCTGGAAGACAAAGTCGGGGCGTGTTTTGGCAGCACCGGTCAGTGGCCAATTACTTGTTACCAGTAACATGTGGGTTCCTGGGGGCATGCCATTCCAAAGAAAAGACTAAGGGCGATGGATGTGTTTGAGATTAGCATTCACTTTGCCGACAGCACGCACGGGGGTGACAAACGGAAAACCTCGCAACAATGCAGCTTGCCAGCAATAACTTGGCATCACACCGTCAAACTACATGTTTATTTTTGATCGTCTTGCTCAGCAGGTTTGGGATCGGTGGGGTCCGGGCACAAGATGCACGGCTTTTCCAAGAGCAAGGCCCTTCTGGGGGCCATGAATGACATACCGCGAGCACGGGTGATGGACCTATACAATCCAGAGATTGATCGGCCCCTTGCTGCTCACTACCGTGCCTCTTGGTACCAAATCCGTCTATCATTTCATTGGCTCAAAACCAACCGCTCCTCCCAATCCATGCTGCCAAGGTTCAGCAAAGGGGCATCGAGGGGACCAAGGCAGTGATCAAAGGCCTTTTGGACGGGCTTGACCTTGCGGATGGGACTCCAGTTCTCGTGTGCGATGTGATTCCCAACAGGCAACTTGGCCAGCATAACATGAACCCACGTTTCAATGTCAGCGCCTGTATTGGATTTCCATCCTTGTCCCTCCCCCCCACACGAGATTGATTGAGAAGGTTGCCCCTTGGATCTTCACCCTTGACAAAGCCCCCGCCCCCCTTTTGGTAATGAGTTGTTGTCCACCACAAGCTGCTTGCCCACCCCATCCTTTCAGAGGCCCATTGCCTTGTTTGTACAACTCTGTCATGTCAGCTCCTTACTTGCCTTTTGACTGTCCCCGCAAGAAAGATTCCCCTCTTCGGCTTTCATTCCAATCCAAACCTGCCCCCCCCCCCTCAGAAGGGTTTTTGCTGCCAAATGGCCCACGTGCCGCCAAACTTTGGGGTTATCACGCTGAGAAGGGTGGGCTTACATTCGACCATGGGCAGCAACAAGGAGTCCCAACTTGCAACCTAGGGGGCTTTCAACTAGCAACCAGAAGAGCGTCCATCTTACAACCTACATGATTTTTGGTAGGGCCTTTGAGTGTTGAGGGCATTCCCCACGAAACAACATATGAACGCTTGTCACTCAGAGTGAGGTATACCTACCAGCGCCAAGAGAGCTCCCGCCTACTACCGAGGGAGTTTTGCATTAGCCTTTACAAAGCTTGTCCACTTACCTTTTGTCACCTGACACTAGGACAAGTTGCCTCCTACCACAAGGGCAATTGAAAGGCATCATGTTTTATGTTGGATTGTTTTTTGGGCCCAAAACCAAATATCCAGGGCACTTGTAAACACATGCAAGCTTGTTTTGGAGCACAACTTTGGAAGAGTCTTGAAATTGTGAGGGATGGGGTTCCAGCCCAACTTGCTTGGGGGTGTGCTAGGTTCAACGAGTGGGGCCAAGCAATGTGGAGCCTACAGAAGGCTGAGTTGATGGAATCCGCCAGTGGGCCAAAGTATCACTTCATGTCCTTGCACTTGGCGGGCACGGGGTTGATCGACGGTGTCAAAAGCCAAATGACTGGGAGTGTCTTGCAGGACAGAACACATGGTGCTTGTGACTTGTTGTTTCCCATGGTCTGAGCTTTCGAAGGAGTGGTGGGATGCATCGTCAGAAGCAGGACCAAAAGTTCGCCCTGGTGCCCGCTTCAATGAACCGCCTCCGACCCTTGAGGTTCTCAGCAGGGATGGCAACGAGGTGAAGCATCTTGGCTACAACTTTCACTCCTTGTCTCACCCAAATACTTACTACCAGACTACCCCAAGTGCTTGTTGCCTAGGATTCCGGACCTGGTGTTGGCTAGATACAAAAACGCAGAAGGATTTGCTGGCAACGTGGAGGCCATGCACACCCGTGTGGAAAGTGAAATGTGCGGGTCCATCAAGCGGGCGCTGGAAGCTGAAGGTTCCCCGAGCCAGCCTGTCCAGCAGCCATCACAAGTGACATCGCGAGCCCCGCAACCTGCCCGCACCCAGTCCAGCCCTGACTGGGGCGGTGAGCCAGTTCCCAATCTGAGCAAGATGGTAAAGTTCAATGCTGTGGCCCTGGCTGACTTTGATGCCAGCCAGAAGCAGCTTGCCCAAATAAACCCTTTCCCTGACTGTTCAAACTTACCCCTGTATCATGTGTTCTCTCTGCATGCTTATTGCGCTTTCCAAGGATTGCGGTGTCAGTTGCCCTGACCAGAGCAAGTGATTTGCAGCTGGCTGTCACATCAGATGCAAAGCTGTGGCTGCTGAATCGCACAAACAAAGATCAACCGATTGATGCTGGGGAGCTGTGTGGCTTTAATGTTGGTACTTTTGAGGAAATTCCGACAGGACCATCACGAGCATGTTGTACTTCATGCCCAGCACCACCTTTCCCCAACCACTCTCCTGCCTACAGGAGCTGCCAGGGCAAAGCCAAGCGGCCACATCCCATGGCTGCTTGAGACCGATGCTTCACTTCTGGTTCACGTGAAGGGGTCTGGAGAGAAGTCTGCAGCAACCCTGGCCGATGTAATCAGTGGTGTGGTGCGAGATCGGGGAGTAACAGAAATTGGTGCGGTGGATCACTCGGTTGAGGGCAAGCACAAGGACCTGGTGGGGTGAATACTGTGTCCAAAATACAAAGTACTGGGGGCGGTTAACCCTGAGGAGGAGAACGGGCAGAAGGTTGCCATGACCTTTCGCTACACAATCAGCCCGCGTGCCAAAGTCAACGCGTTCGTTCCCAAAGAAATGACTGACCTTGCATCTTGCCGACTCTCCATGCTTGGGGCTTGGTATTTGAACAAGTTTGAGAAGTTGCCCAAATCGGAAAACATTGATGTACTCTGGGAGGCAGGGGGCGGTTGAACAAATTGTTGGCAGGGCCTCTGAGAAAAACAAGTTGGTGAGTGTTTTCAGTATTCAGGTCCATTGTTTCGGGTTGCCCTTCCCTGAAGGTCAAAATCGACGATGCGGTCCCGGCTGTGATCACCCCACTCAAGCCTAAGCTTCACCTGACCTGCAAATCCGTGGTGCCTGCTGGAACGGCTGTTGAGTTGAAGTAGGGTCATGTAGGGTCGCAAATTTTGATTTGAGAAGCGCTTGGGCGGTGGAAAACTGAATGATGACACACCCTGTTGGCATCTAGAAGCAACATGAGCAAGCACGCCCTTTGTCATGTGACCCTCATTCCCTTTGTCATGCTATCTTCCTTCCCTTTGTTATTCATGGCCTCAAGCTGGAGTGATTGTAGGTTTGCTTACCATGCCTCTTGAGGCAATTAGTGCCTTGTCTGATGATGAGCCGGCCCCGGGACCACCGCCCTCCGAGAAAAAGGCAAAAGCCAAACCCAAACCCAAGGCAAAAGCTACCAGCAAAGAAGGAAAGGCAGCGCCAAAAAGCAAGGCCAAGTCTATGATGAAACGGCCTGCAGCCAAGATGAGCAACGCTACACCAGAGACAGATGCACAGACACCAAAAAAGAGTAAGACCGCTGCGGCCAGCCACGGCACACCACAGGCAGACTCAGACCAAGATTCAGAAAAGAAGCAGGGGTTGTCACCCCGCCAAAGCACACCAGCCAAAGAACACGACGAGCAAGTTTGCAAGAAGCCTGCCACCAAGGGCAGCAAACCCGGCCAGAGCACACCAGCCAAAGAACACGGCGAGCCAGTTCACAAGAAGCCTCCCACCAAGGGCAACACAGTGCTGAAACGCCCAGCGGCAACCACAGAGGTGGAAGAGGGGCCGATGCCCCCGGCCAAGATCTACAAGTACCGGTACAAAGCAAATGGGGCATGGGGGTTCAAAATTGATGGCAAGGAGAAGTTGAGAGCAGCTAGCTTGCAATCAGGGGGACAACATTTTGGGGGCATGGGGTGGGGTTGGACAAATTGATTGCCCATCACTGCTGATTATCCAAGTTGCGGCCAACGGGGTTGCCTGATGAGACTCTGGCTGAAATTGCCGCACCTCGGCCACATCCACTTATGTTATTGTGTCGACCCCCTGTTTTTTTTATCTACTGAGGAAGCTGTGTATGCCGAGCTGCAAGCCAAGAACGGCGATGTGCAGGCGGCTTCAGTGCTGATGGTGGCTTGTCTTCAAAACCACTTCATGCCTACAACCTGCGCTTTGGTACCCGACCTGCAATGCCTCAGGAATGCATGCTGCAGGTGGCCCAGAAGAAAAGCGAGGATCCTCCCATTTCAAAGAAGCCAGAGCCCGTAGCTCCACAGTCTGATGATCAGCATGAAACAGCGGAGGAAGAAGACAAGGAAATGGACAACGCTGTGGATCTGTAGAAGCATGGTTTTCGCAGGAAAAAAAGAACTGCTGCCGATTCGACTGGGGGAGGGTGTGTCTGTGTGGGGTTGAAAGTGCTCACACATGCCAGGGTCCAGTGGTCCAGTTGCTTCCAAGCCACCTTGCCTGCAACTTCCCAAACTCTTCACCAGATACAATCTGAAAACACAAAACCCTTGATAAACCCCAAGCCCCCCATTAGAAGGATTCAGCATTATATACATATATATATATATATGTACATATGTGGTTTGCTTGCTTTTGTTTCGCCATACCAAGGAGGTGAGTGACAGCGAGTGAGAGAGCCCTCGTGTTTCACGCCTTATGTTGGCAGCGCATGCCGAGCCGTTTGGCTGTGTCTCCAGCTTGGCCCCGGTCCCGGGAGCGCAACATCATGGGTTCTTTGCCTGTCTCAGTGATTCCATTTACCAAGGGTCCCATAGGGAAATGGTCAGGGAACCACTGGTACCATCCATCTCAGTGGTTCCATACAGACCAGGGAATCACAATTTCAGCATCAGAAAGACAAATGGTTGGCTAGCATAGTGGTAGCTGGGATCCACTGTGTGTTCTGGCCCTCGCGACAAACAAGGAAGTGCGCACAGCAACCCGTTCCAACAGAGTCCTGTGCAAATCCTAGGGGGAGGAGTCTTGGACAGCTGGATTGCTGCACAAATGGAGTGGTGGCATGTCCTTGGCTGCTGGTCACCTAGCGAGCCTCGCTTGCACGGTTTGAACCCCCAGTTCGATGGCTTTGAAGGCAAGCCAACAAGAAGCCAACCACACGGAGGAGTCTCTAATTTGCAGACAGCCCCCATCCAAAACCGAAGTTGAAGCTTCATGGGAGAAATAGAAGCAAGTAGCTCCATTTTTCATGTTTGTTGTGGGTACCTTCCAGAAGCAGGTTTACATTGGGAAAGCTGACGATTTGTGCTATTTTCCCACTTGCAAAAAAGAGGCTTGCAGGGGTGTTTGACCCAGCCAGGGCGGGGACACTCTCTTTTCGCGCGGTCGAAGTTGTACAGTTGTGGTCCGCGCACAAGAAACAACAAGGAGCATCCCCAAAGGAACCCAACAAAAAGCCAGCACGGTCCCAGGTGAGGATTGGCGGTTTGACCCAGCTGCTGGGGAACAACAGGAGTCTTCTGCAACGCCTGAACAGCACGGGATGTTGGCCACGTTTTGCTTAGCGTAACTTACGGGTTATGGTACCTCCAATTTTTCAAGGTTCAGCGGGGCTTGACCTCTACCCCAGTGCCTTTCTTCTGATTTTGGGAGGGAACCTCAATTGGAGGTCTGGGGTGGTTGCCTGGATCCACTCCGAGGCAATGGGAAAGGAACTCTTCCCCTGATAGGATTTTCCAACCCTCCATTTTGAACAGCGGAGAATGCCAGGTGCGGCAAAGCCCTTGGGAACACGGACGCCATGTTTCAAAACATCGTGCGGCACCCTGCAAGTCGGCAACCTCACCACGACACGAAAATCCTCGATCCAGGTACCACATCGAGGAAGAGCGCTTGTCCATTCTTGAGGCGGGGATGGCTTTGTTTTAGGGAGATTGGGTCGCTGTGGGGTTGTCATACTGATTTGGACCCCAACCATGGTGTTCCTTTCGGTTTCTGGTCCCTTTCAATGGAAGAAAGGGTGCCAGCAGCAAACGCGATGGTACTTTGTCTTTGGTTTCCTTTGAACCCACGTTCCCATGCTTCTCCTTTCAGGGGTGAAAGGGAAAGCGGGTGGCGGATGTAAGAATGGCTCAGAAATCTTTATTTGGGCCCATGTTCCTGGTCCTGTTTCCAGGGAACAAAGTCGGAATGGAGGCAACTTTTGTCATTCAGCCACCGACTTGGGAATGGCTTTTGAACGCTATTGGATTGCATTGTTGCCCTGCAGCTTCTTAGGAACATTCCTATGTCCTACGAACGTGCAAAACATCCACAACCATGTTGGCTTAAGGACAACTGCATTGCGACGGGTGAATGAAATTGAGTTGGGCAAGTCTGCCGCAGTGTTCCCTCGAGATCATCCCAAAGATTGCCTTCACAAGCCTGCTGCAGAAAATGTGCTACTGTTTGTGTCTGACCTGGTCACAAACAAGTGTTGCGCTGGTTCCCTTTTCCTCTGCCAGACTGGCTGCCGTGCTTTTCTGCTCGATGCTTTGAAAGCGCGCGGTTCTTGAGACACTGGGTGTTTTGCTTTGAAAGGCTTTTCAGAATTGTTCAGGGTAACCGGCTGCAAATGGCCGCAAACAGCTTGTGAGGCGCAACCACCCGCAAAAACCGCCATAACCAACGCAAGTCCAACACTAAAACGCCTGAGACCTAGAAAACTGGAGCACCCGGAAATTTCCAAGGAATTCCCAGGAGGAATCTCCATGAAGAATATATGTCTGGCCGGTTTCTTGAAAAGCCACGTTCATAAAATTTGCGTAGTGAATCAGCAAAGGACGAAGGATTGTGTTACGAAGGGAGCTTCCGGTACACCTGATCAACCACAAAAAGATTAGATTTCTTTGTACGGTTCGGGCTGGTTGCACTGGTTGCAACCCCATCCCTGTGTTTTCTTTCCGCCTTTCTGGGATCAGGATGAGATGACAGAGGAGGATTTGGGCTTGGACAGCAAGACCCAGCGCGGGGTCAAGGCCGGTGAAGTCACTTGCGCACAGTGCGCGATGCCAAAAAGAAAGAAAAGGCCCACATTGGGTGTCAAAATAGGGCGACCCCACAAACGGTGGTTTATCTTTTTTGGCTTCTCGGTAAACAAAGGTGACAAGAAAGCCGTCAAAAGAGGAATGAATCCATTTTTTGCACAACCTCATTATGAATCGACGGCTGTGCGATTTCTTGCAAAAGCCATAAGGATGCTTCCAATCAGGATGGTGGGTTCCTTTGCCGGGGTTGATGGCTCGAGGGAAGCCTTTCACCACAACTGTGCTGTCATGGCTTGAACAAAACTCAGTGCGAGTGGCGCTCTGAGCATGTTTTTTCGATTTGCCAAATGTGTTCAGCAAAGAGCAACGGTTGGCAAACACGCTGGGGCAAACAGTCAAAGCAGGTGTTAACTGACGCTCTTATGCTGCGGACGGGTGATAATCTGGTGCTTGTGTGTTTTGTCAGTTTCACTGTGAGTCAGAGGATTGTCGCATAGTTGGCTGGGCCAATCCCAGAGATGGAAATCTGCAGATTCACGATCTGACAGATTCGGGGGTAGGACGAGCGCCAACCTCACAAAGGTCCTGTACTGATATGGAATTGGGGTCATTGGGAACATGGGATTCACTCCTATCAATAATTTGATTCTATGTTCAGCATGTTCAAAGTGAACTCCAAGAAGGGCTGCCCTCTTTTAGCTACTGGTTGCAACGGGGAAAACGCCAGGTTGAGCTGACCCTCCTGGGCTACCTCGTCTTCCGAGGTGGGGCAGCCTAGCCGCGAAATGGGAAAACAGACGTCCAAAGCTTCACTGAGCGGTGCCTGAATGACTTGATGCTGAAGCAGGGGTTGCTTTTTCGTTTGGGAGGCTACCTTTCTGGCTTAAAGGTTGGTTTGCAAGGGACATGAACCATTCGAGTGGTTGAAAGAGGGCCAGCGATCTGGGCATAGCAAGGTGCGAAGTGTTGTGGCAAGTGATGTCGTGTGAATCCCTGACTGGGTGTGTCTTTTGTGGGTCTTTGGGAGTCCATAGCCCATGTAAAGACAAGCTGTGCTTGTAGGACAACATCAGCACACACACACACAATTCGATCAGAATGTGAGGTTGCCACTGCTGGCTGCGGTTTCCCCAGAAGCTCCGTGTTGTGCGCATGAGGTGCCCTGCTTCCACAATTCAGGGAGTCAAGTGAGTGCAACCAAGCACAGGTTCCTCAAAGCTAATCAGAGAGTGGATCCCCATGAGCAAGGATCCCCTGGATCTGTTCCTTGCCAGGTTTGTTGCTTCAGCTCATCCCCTCACTTAACCTCTCAACCCTTACCTGGACCCTCAAACCCTATGCACGAAAGTTCATGCCCCAAAATGGCGGCTCATCAACGCGACTCCCGGAGTCGTCGGGGGACGCCGATTGGCCGATTCCATTGGCCAGATCTCTCACCCAGCGGCGACGGCTCACGACTGCACGCCGTGCCGGCGAGCTTAGAAGGGTTTGGTGCGCGGAACTCCGGGGAGGTGGTTCTGTCGTTTTTGAGGGGACCCCCCAAAAAAACAACAAAAAACAAGAAAACAGGATGGTGTTCCCTGTGGTCTCCCAAGAAAGCAAGGGTAGCACCAACAAAAAGACACCCCCAGGTGGTTCTGGTTGAGGCCTAAAGCTTTGCAACCATCTATCAAAAGCCAGTTATTTAGTTTTGAGCGCGCTGGGTACTTAGATGCGCACTGGTTATCAGGGTCAAGTGGGATAGTGGTTGGTCACAAAGGGACAGACTCCTTTCACATGTGCTCCCCTTGGGTAAATAATTCTAATAGAGACGCCTCTCATTTCGATGTGGAGCATGTGGCAGGGAGTTGCTTGTGGGGTGCTAAATAGCTCGTTTTCAATTTCCTCCCCCCGCCCCCCACAACAACAACAAAAACATAACTCAGTTTACCCCTCCAAAGACAGACACAAACCGAATTCGTTCCCCAGGCTGGTCGGCTTTGTCGGGCATCCCTGGCCAGGCCGTTCTGCATCCGGGCATGCCCGATACACCTGCCCGGGGCCCGTGACGGAAAGTGCAGTGCTCGTCTTTTGAGGGGAAAGGAACCCGGCTTGGGGGTGGCTATGGGGTGGCTTTGGGGTTCCCCTGTTTCGAGACACACCCACTTGCCTTTTGGAGTGAAGAGTGGGCTCACCAGACAGACAAGAAGCCTGAATTCTGGACCACAGCCTCCCAAGCTGTTTGTCCGTGAGGGAAAAGAGCACTCCCCAAACATCAGCCATAAATCGTTGCTCGACCTCTCGGGACCTTCCGCGGAATCCTCCAGAATCTGCCCAGACTCCTGAAGCCAAGCAGGATTGGCGAAGACTCAGCTGTCGCTGTCGGTTTTGACCTTAAATGGTTTGGACTGGTAAATATGTTCCATCTTTTAGACGCATCTAAAGCATGTAGAGGCTTGGAAACAGGAGCGCCTTTTAGGGAACATTCTGATCGGGCCCCTTGACTCGCAACTCACCAGGTGCCTTGTCCGAATGTCTCCTTAAAGGTTATTTGTTAGAAATCCAGATGCACCTTTTGGAGCACAACGCCCGACCTTTGGAGCCGACCCTGGCAAAGGCTGGCAAAGCATGATTTTAAGCATCGGCTCCAACCAATCTCTTCGCCCCTTGTTCTTTGGAGACATCTCCCAATTTCAATCCGTCCAGGGGCAAAAGTCCAGGGATCTCTTTGGGCAATTCATGACGAGCTCGAGGGGTAAAACAAGCTCACCCAGGAAGGTCTGCTACCAGAGCTCCCCTGACGTCCAGTTTGTGCGCGCCAAACCGTCGCCGTTTTCTCAGTCAACACTTGGCGGCTGAGCCCGCTTCTATCTTGTAGCACTTGCGCTTCGGATCTTCAGTGGCAGCTTTTGTTTTCTTCTTTTTTGTTTTCCTCTTGAGACAGCCAGCAGACATCGTCTACAAAAGGTAATGGTGGTTTGCCTTTCGCTTTCGGCGCTCTGTTTTCCCCGTGCCCTTTATTGTGTTGTCCTTCGTTGGTGTGGCGGTGTTATTTTTTAAACTTAACTCATGCATAAGTGAGTCACAATCAAAACCTGGGTCATTGGAGGGTAGTACGGGACAATCCCAGCCGTAAATGGGTGCGGCCGCCTGTTCAATTCTTTACATGGTCCTGGGTTCACCATTTTAATACCGGGTTTTGATTATGGCTCAAGTGGGCAAATCCTTTCGGTTGCCCGTGCGAAGTCACTGCTTGCCCGGCTCTAGGGGCTGATTCCACATGTTTGCTTTGCCGTGCTGCTTTTTGTTAACGCAACCTGCAGTGATGCCCATAGGTGTCCTTTTTGGTTGAGTTGGTAGTAAAATAGATGGCCCTGGTTTAGCTGGTGGTGGTTTAATCATCTACCGGGGCCATCTATTTCCACCAAAAGGACACCTATGGTGATGCCAGTTTTCCGGTTTGCTGAAAAGGACGATTCCCGGAAAACATGTGCCGTCGACCCAACTTCAGGTGCTAACAGCGTTCGAGGATGGCCAAGTTGCTCCTCTTCCTTACCCTGGCCCTGGCGGCCGGACAGGACAGAGACGAGCCAGTCTGGGGCTTCCGGTGCTTCCGGGTGAGGGAGGTGGGAGAAAAAACGCGCCAACTTCAGGCCACTAGTTGAATTCGGGTAAATTCGGCTCACCCTTGAAACCAACCGGAGCCGACAAAAGACACAAGAGGCTGGAGGCTGGCCCAACCTGCAGGACTATGATCCGGTGCTGGCGGAGTCCTGTCTCGAGGACGCCGAGTGCGCTTTGTCCTTGCGTCAGCTTCGCGGCAAGCAGTCCTTCGCCAACATTGCCGCGCAGCTGGAATCGAGCAGCCCCAGTTGCCAAGTGATGCCAAGTTGTCAAAGCCCATGGTGTATCATCTTGGGGAAGGTGCACCACCCATTGTAGAACCTATTTTAGTGGGGATTGGGATGTTCACTGGGGGTGCGCGGTTTTGACCCATGGCCAAATGGTTCCACACGTTGCTGTTTGTGTTTTAGGCGCCCCAGTGCTTTCAGTCACCACTGTACTAGGTAACCAAGATTTAGTTTCTCTCCCTCACGATTCTTCAGAAGTCAGACTGGAAGCGCTGGGAGCCCCATTCGCCCAGAGGCTTCCAGTTTCTGTTGCTATTTCTGTATTGCAGCCACCCCACTTGCGCAGCATGTGTCCACCCAGGCTTCATTTGCGCCCAGTGGCAGCTATTTGTGCTGGGAACGGCTTCCCTGTAAAATCAACAAACACGAAAAAATGGGCACCCCTCTCTCCCCGTGACTGGGCTTCCAAGGCGGACCACTGGCAAAGCCCAGATGCGGAAGCGGAGTCGGTGGACTTGGCCTTCATTGGCAAGATGTTGGCGATGATTTTCATAGGAGCCACCTCAAATCATAAATCCCCACCTAAACTCAGTTGTTCCGTGGCACCAAGAATTCAATTCTTGTTCCCTTTTGTTTTGTGGTGGCTGCCCCACTAAAAGTGGTCTTCCCAAAAAAGGGTTCCCTTTTTTCCAGGGACACCGAACCACTGAGCAAACCATGTCCAAGTCCCGAAGTCAGATTCACAGCCATGTCGGTGGTTTTGCTCTTTTTGGTTTCGTTGAATTCACGTAAACGAGAGGATCCGTCATCCGTGCGATTCCCCCTGTCACCCTTGGGCATTTGAGGCAAGGACGAGAGATCCTGACCAAATCTGCCAACCCATCCCTCAAGTCCAATCCCCATTTTTCACTGCATAAAAACTTTCTGAGAAAACTTTAGAGCCTCCGGCCCAGTCCGTCGACATTGTCCTCTCCCTTTTCTCCTGCTTCCTCTCTCTCTCTTTTCTGCCCTCTCTGTCTGTCTCTCTCCTCCCCATCCTCCCCATCCTCCCCATCCTCCCCATCCTCCCCATCCTCCCCATCCTCCCCATCCTCCCCATCCTCCCCATCCTCCCCATCCTCCACATCCTCCACATCCTCCCCATCCCCTCTCTCGCTCGCTCTCTCTCTCTCTCTCTGTTTGCATTGCAGCGTCATGTCCCCCTGAGTTTGAGTTGCCTTGATTTCCGCGCACTGCCCCTTCATGACCCCTGAATTGTCTTCGTACTAATTACTGGCTTTCCCCTTGATTTCTCCTTCATGTCCTTTTCATGTCTCGTCATTTTTCGAGGATGTCCTCGTCATGTCCCCTTCCATTCCTTTTTATTCCCCCTTCATGTCCCTGTCATTTTCTCGGTATGTCCGCTTCATTTTCCATGTATGTCCCTTTCTTTCATTGCCAGTCATTTCCCTACATCTGCCTTCGTGCCCTTTGGTTTCCTTGTCCTTTGTTTGCCTTGCAGGCAGTCCCTGCTCACTCCCCCTGTGTTCATTTCTTTCCCCTTCATGTCCCTTTCAGTTCCCCTTCATGTCCCTTTCAGTTCCCCTTCGTTTCCCTTTCATTTCCCCTTGCTTTCCTGTCATGTCAACTTCTCGTCCCCTGCGTGTCCTTGCATTTCCCTGTATTTCCTCCCTCATCTCCCGGCAAATCTTTGCATGTTCCCTTTCGCTCCCCGGTATTTTCCCGGGAACAAAAACACAAATAAAAACGGTTTTCTCACGTTCTCGCAAAAAGGATGTCAAAAACGGAGAGTTTCTCCAGATTTCCGGCAAAAGGAGGCAGGAAACCCGAACCAGCAAAGAGCCGGCAGGGGGATTCGAGCCTGGGACCCCTGTTTTGCGACACCGGCTTGTGGAACGTCATCAGATCACCGCGCGGTACGTGGGGGACCCCCTTCACCCTACGTATCAAACGTCGGGCGGAGGGGGTGGGGCTAAGGGGGCTAAGGGGGGGGGGCTCTTGAGTATGCGACATGCCTCAATGTTGGCGGATTGGAGGGTATTTCTGCAGCGCTTCACACTAAACATTGCCAGATTTAAGCAACCCGGTGAACCGGGTTGCTTCACACTGAACAGTTCATCTGTCTGTTTTGTTGGGGTGCCCCTGACTGCCTACTGCGTGCAAGGAATCCATAGATAAGCGTTTGCTCTGGAGCCCTTCCGCTCTTTTGTGGGCTAATGACACCCATGCCCTTCGTTCTCGCCACGTTTTCCATTTGAGGACAGTTTCTTACTGTTTCTGTTGGGTTTGATACGGGGTTCAATCGTCATGACCAAGAAGTTTCTCCGTGGCAAGAGCAAACAGCAAGGGTGGGCAGCCAGTTCAGTTGAACGGCAAAGCGACAAACCGCCTGAATGCTACGTTCCGATCATGTCCAAGGCTGCCACGGAGGAAGCGGAGCCAACGACGGCGGATGTGAAGCCAACAACAGCGGATGTGATTCCCATGACGCCGGATGCGAAGCCGATGATGAAGCCGATGACGGCGGATTTGCCCGCACCCACAGCTACGACGGCCAAGAAGGACAAGGGTTTGATTTTGGAAAATAACAAGGGGTGGCCCGCCCTAACACCCAGTTGTATCCTATGAACCTATGGACCTGGTTGCAGGGGTACCCGGCTCAGGACACAGAGGATCCCTTTAGCAAGCCGGCAGAGGAGCTTGATCCTGGTGACTCAGCTGAATGCATGACCCGTTGCCCTGAAAGGCTCAAGGACTTCGTCATTTGAGCCACAAGTTTCCTGCTTTTTGCAGGGGGACTCCCTTCACGCTCTTGTTGAATCCAACCCCCTATGAATAAGCATGTGTTTCCAATGATTGACTGAAAGATCACGAGACGGTGTCTTGTTTATCAGTGACTGCGCGTTTAGTGTTGCCCACATGTCAGGAGCCACTCATTATCAGAAGGGTCCCAAAGTGCCCACTCAAATGGGAAAACACAACAACAGCGTCATCTGCCGCGCAAGGAATGTATCACATCACTTTTTGGATTTGTCAATTCAAATTTTAAAGGCAAAACACTACAGCATTGATTACAATTTAAGTTTACACTTAACTGCATGAAGTGCTGCTTGCATTTTTTTTGTTGGGGGGGAGGGCGACGAAAAGACCCTAGAAAGAGGGTGTGATTCGTGTGATTCGCCCAAAAAGGGCCTCAAGGAGGGTCAAACGGTCCATTGTTTTGTTTCGTTCGCTTTAAACGATTTGGGGTCGCCCCAAAAAGGGCAGCCAAAGGGGATCTTGTCAAGTTTGGTTAAAAGGACTATGCGGATGTGTTTGTGTGTTGGCTTTACTCGATTCGAATACTTTCGACTGGAGACCAAACCCATTGAGGGGTCATCTTTCAGACAAGACTGTGTGGGCATGCTTGTTTTGGAGTGGTTTAGTGGGAAGCCCAAAGGAAACATACCATGTCCGCTCACCTTGCAGCTTTCACGATGTACGGAACTACCTGAGCCGCAACCAAAAGCGGAGGTGAGTAGTGAACGTTGAAATCTCAAAATCGCTCTGGCCGAGTTTCTGGATGGGAAGATCATGTTTGTCGCCTCTTTGTCAACACCCCAATTGTTTGGCAGGGAGGGCCCCTCAAGTGTCCAATTGGTTTAAACCGTGGCAATTCTGTTGGAAGCAGGCTTTCTTGGAACCCGGAAACTTTCTCAAATGGCTGTGGGTCAAAAATCGGTACCCAAAATGGGTTGCCCTGGTAAATGGGGACAAGGGCTACAACCTGCGGTCCAATTCCTGGCGGTTCAATTTTCACCGGTGCCCAGATGAATAGAGCATCTTATGGCTCAGGGAAGCCAATATCCCTCCTATACCTGATCTTGACGTTCTGCGTGTTTCTTGGAACGGCACTGTGCTGAACCCGTCGTTGTTATTTTTGATCAACATCTACTTCCAACAATAGTTTCAAGAACCCCGTCAAAAAAGCACGTTGACTTGACCACCATTTTGATTGGATGTTTTGTTGGTGTGTCATTTCGATAGCCTCAGCAATAGGGGGCGACACTCACTTACGAGGATTCTTCGTCTCAAAACCCCAGCCTTTGAGACCTTACTCAGAATTCTGGACTCGTTACTACCGATCCACTTAGTGATCATGACTTAAGATAAGTTTCTTGTTGCCCACAAACCGACTCTGATTTTTTCCTTGAGCTAGAGATCACTTGGAGAGATTACTTTTACTTATGGTTGTCTTTGGCCCAACCAACGGGCACAACTTGGAATTGTCCTCACTGGAGAGGGAGGTTAGGCGAGGCTGGTTCCAGGGTTGGCCATAGAAATCGGAATCTCCAAGTTGGTGGCATCCCTCGATTTCCCTTTGCACCGACCCAAACAAGTTCCTTCAAAAAAGGCGACCATGTTTGTGCGGAGGGCAAGTGTTCAGCGCCCTGCGAAGGGGCTCAGCCCAGGCTTCAGCCAGCCCGCTGCCACCACCGTGAAGCCTGACGAGAGCCCTGCGACGGCAGAGGCGGCATCGGAGGACTGCAGGGCAGTTTAAAAGGGAGCCCAATGGTTCCATTGACATGACCTTCGAAAGGGTTTGCTGATTTGTTTGTTTGTTTGTTTGTTTGTAACGGTTCAGATTGTTTTGTTTGTTTGTGGCTGTTGTTCAGTTTGTATCGGTGGTAAAGTCTGCATGTCTATTGACAGCGTTTGGCGATGTTGGCTTAAAAGAGAACACACATGTGTGTTTGTCGGTGGGGGCACAAGCTGAGGTAGAACAGGTAGGGGCGGGCAATCTTTTGGAGTTTAGCTTTGGGTTTTTTGTTGGTCGTTCCTTCTTTTTAAGGCTGGTTTTCGTGGTTTGGCACTGTTTTGGGTCTTGTTTTGTTTGTGCTGTGTGTGTGTGTGTGTCTGTGTGTGTGTCTGTGTGTGTGTCTGTGTGTGTGTGTCTGTGTGTGTGTCTGTGTGTGTGTGTCTGTGTGTGTGTGTCTGTGTGTGTGTCTGTGTGTGTGTGTCTGTGTGTGTGTCTGTGTGTGTGTGTGTCTGTGTGTGTCTGTGTGTGTCTGTGTGTGTTTGTGTGTGTCTGTGTGTGTCTGTGTGTGTCTGTGTGTGTCTGTGTGTGTCTGTGTGTGTGTGTGTCTGTGTGTCTCTGTGTGTCTCTGTGTGTCTCTGTGTGTCTCTGTGTGTCTCTGTGTGTCTCTGTGTGTCTCTGTGTGTCTCTGTGTGTCTCTGTGTGTCTCTGTGTGTGTGTGTGTCTGTGTGTGTGTGTCTGTGTGTGTGTCTGTGTGTGTCTGTGTGTGTCTGTGTGTGTCTGTGTGTGTCTGTGTGTGTCTGTGTGTGTCTGTGTGTGTCTGTGTGTGTCTGTGTGTGTCTGTGTGTGTCTGTGTGTGTCTGTGTGTGTCTGTGTGTGTCTGTGTGTGTCTGTGTGTGTCTGTGTGTCTGTGTGTCTGTGTGTGTGTGTGTGTGTTTTTTTGTTTTTAGCCGCCTTGTAGTTTGGTATTGATGTTGCACCATCTCAGTATGACCATTGACCCATGCGGGATAGCTCGGCGCACTGCAGTGATACCGATTGACAGCCCTGTCCCTTTGGCGCCGCAGGGGTCTGATGACATGACATCTGAAAAGGAGGTCCGATGACGTCATTCACCTCAACCGGCATCCACGATTTTTGCAGAGACCCCCAATGCGCCAATGGGCCCCCAATATTGTTTCTTCAATGCTTCACTTCAAGAAGGATACAACCTTGTTCTTTTGTCATTTTGGGCCACTCTTCTCAAGGTGTAAGCCCAGGCTGTCCGGTTGTAATGCCTAAATGTAAGCCCCAGATGTCACACAACAGCTTTTTTTGGGGCACAACAAGCAGCCTTCCTAAACAGACTCAATCAAGAAAGGTGCGGTTGTTCTTTCTATGGGGTAAAGGAAGAACGGGCCCCGTTGGGCTGTGTTCTAAGGAGGTTGGCTGGTTTCCTCCCATTTTCAGGGGCGCACAAGCGGTCACTTGAGAAGTGCTGTCACCGGAGGACCCTTTCAGCAAGCCGGCGGAGGAGGTTGATCCTGGCGACTGTGCTGAACATTGCGAGACTTCCACTTTGCAACGACCCAAACAAGTTCCTTCAAAAAAGGCAACCATGTTTGTGTGGAGGGCAAGTGTTCAGCGCCCTGCGAAGGGGCTCAGCCCAGGCTTCAGCCAGCCCGCTGCCACCACCGTGAAGCCTGACGAGAGCCCTGCGACGGCAGAGGCGGCATCGGAGGACTGCGGGGCATTTTAAAAGGGAGCCCAATGAATCCAATGACATGAACTTCGAAAGGCTTGCAGTTGCTGATTGTTTGTTTGGTTGGTTGATTGTTTGTTTGTTTGTTTGTTGCTGTTGTTCACTATGTGTCCGTGGTAAAGTCTGGAGGTCCATTGACAGTGTTTGGCGGTTTTGGCTTAAAAGAGAAGAACAAACATGTGTGTTTTGGGCGGGAGCACAAGCTGAGGCAGAACAGGTAGGGCTGTTTGTTTCAGCTTTTTCTTACTTTACCGCCATTGGCGTATGCCGCCGCTTCTTGTCGATTTTGGCCGCGTTGCTACCTGGGAGGTTGGGGGTAGCCTAACTGAGCCAGGTGTGACACCCCTTCGTAGGCGCGCCAGACTTGCAGCAACAAGCAGACGCGGGCGTGTCTTCTAGTTCTTCCTGGATGTAGTCTTGTTTGTTTTTGTGCTGTGTTCTTTGGCAGAGATCCGACCGCTTCCTGTCCTTGATGCACCCCGTCGTAGGAACTCACTTGAGCGCGCAAGCAGACGTATGGTGTCGAGAAGTTTGCTTGTGCGCAGCCATTTCCGTGTTTTGGTTGTGTGGAAGAATTACTTGTGCGCCTCAGCTGTGGATGAACATCACTCGGTAGAGGCAACAAAGTGGGGACTTCTTTTCAAGAGCATGCTGCGCGGAGAAGCGCGCATCTACTGCGAGTTGCTGGACAACGGCAGCTCAAGGGTCCTGCGGAGGGAGTGAGCTACTTCAAGAACACGCTCAAGCTGTATTTCCTGAAGGAAACAACAACGAGGTTGTCATTTTCATTTCATGGCTTCAGAGACTCAAGCCAGCGTGTGGTGATTTGGTGCCCGTCATTACGGCAGCTGAAGCAAATCCAAGAAGCGCACACCAAGCACAGACTCTGCAATCCTCTGGAAAGGAGCAGCTCCCCGACCTCAAGCAGACCCCAACGATCCTGAACCGCTGCGGCGACACACAAAGAGTTTGCAGCAGAGACACCAGGACGCAGCCTTCCACAGGAAGATGAAGACCGACGTCGCCATAGGGCCATCAAACAAATCCAAGAAGGACGAACCGAGATCCTCCAAAGAAGGTTCCTCCAGAGCCGCCGCTACCTGGCCCACACGGTGAGCCACTGCGTTTTGGAAACACAGCCCAAGAACTGCAAGCATGATTTTCCATCAGCGCCCTTTTCCAGGATGTAATCTGTTTCCTCCATGGCGCATGTTCGCATTGCATTGATGACTATCTCACTGCACACAAGAAGAGAACAGCCACGGCAAGGGGACAAATGCCATCGGAAAGATTTATTTGAGCAATTTCAGCCGAGAACGGTGAGCTCTTCCAGACCGCACTCCTTTTGAAACACGTCTAGCAAAAGCTGCTGGATAGTTCCACTCCGCGCATCGAGAAGCTCATCAAGGAATGCTGCCTACGGAGAAAAGGAGGAGACCGCGCTCTGACAAAGGCTATGTCTCAGCACTACCCTCCATCAGTTCAGCTTTTTTAAGGACAGTTCAAGACAAGCATGAACCTACATGCAGGAAGATCATGGATCTGATTGCTGATGGCCCGTACTTTGCCAACCGAAGCAAGGAAGACTACGATGCTGAGCGCGAGTGCTATCGCAAGAAACGCACGACCCACGTTCCCCCACCGACACTCTTACAGAAGTCGAGATTGACTCGTTGAAGCGCTGGAATCCTGAGCAAGACAAGTTCTCCTACACGCAAGATCTTCATGAAGAGGAGTCAGGGTTCCCACCCAGACTTCCGAATGGAACCAGGCAGCCTTCCAGACATGACAAGACCAACCCCGTTTTTTGGCAATTGTCTACTGTACTTCACTCAACCAGTCCATGCCCAAGAGAAAAGACGCTGTTCAGAGTCATTGAGTGTGCTCGCAGCCAACTGAAGCGATGTTACACGATTGAAAGCGCGCAAGGGCAAGATATGTTCGTCAATACCGATGGCAGATCATCCAAATGCGCACAATCTGTTGCACAGGTCTTCCCAGTAAACCAGCCAACTCTTGCTCTGCGTTGCAAGAGATATTCCCGCCGTCGGACCAATGAACGCCATCCTTGACGATCTCAATTTCACATTCACCAGCTATGCGTAGAAGAGAAGCTTCAGGATTTGCGGTTAGTGTCGGAATATGGCTCGGCATATGCTCTACAATCGGAAATCGCATAAGACAACCTACCCTGATTGCATGATGACCTATGTTTTCCACTGAACAAAGACCAGATGCAAAAACAATCAGAAAGAGCGTTTGAACACCTGCCACGTGAAGGAAGATCAATTCCCCAATGCTAGTTCCGCAACCACATATGATCAACATCAAGCAGCCCAAGGAGCATCCCAAAAAACCAAGGGTGCACAAGGAGACAATCGAGGTCAAGTCGCGCAATAGGAGGGACACTCCTCAAAGTGATCAAGAGTGGGCCGATTGGTCGGACCCCCCAACTAACTACAAGCGCGCGTCACATGGAGGCAACTGGCACTCTTACGACTGGAAAATAACAGCTGCCTCAACATTGCTTCCTAAGCAAGGCTGTTCAGATAGGATGCCAACTCGAAAGAGATACAGCCGCAGGCGCGACGATGTTTTCCAACCAGCCACTGCCCACTCGGCCAACTCTTTTTCCATTGGAGTTTCCTTTCATGAACGCCGTCGGCTGAGTATGTGCATGTGTAGGCCAGTCAATTTCACACAGTTCGAAGACACACACACACACAGGGTGTTTCTTTTCGCATCAATCGAATCAACACTTTAGACAGGACTAGCTGTCTACGCATCAGAGCAGGATTTCAAGTCAACAGAGCATAGATCTCTTTTGTGGCATGGCTCAAGCAAAACGCACAGCTACGGTGCAACACAAGTAGCCATGTTCCGACAAGGCCTTTCATGTTTGCACACCGCTCGCACGCGCGCATAGAACAGGCATCTTGCTGCGAGCGCCTTTGGATGGGGAAAAGCCCCTCGACCCCCCAACTTTTCATATTTGACATTTCGTTCGGAAGAAGATAAGATCCATGACAAACGTGTACCATTCTTGCGCTTGGGAGATCTTGGGAGTCCAATGTTAAGACCCACCAGCCTTCTTTTCAGCCGACAGACCTGCTAGCTCGTTTTTAACACGCAACTTCGCAAAACCATTAGCCTGGGTTTTTAGAGAGGAACTGACCTATACCGCATTTTAGTTGGGGTTAACTTTTGAGGGAACAACGGGATACACGTCAAAGGGTTCCTTTGACAGCCGGGACCCGGCGCCTGGCGCGTCGCCACAGACCTTCCGACGCCGAAGGTGACACCTGCTGAAGGGCAGGCAGCGACCGGGAAGCTCGGGCCTGCTGTTGGGGCCGGAGGGGTGGGTGCCACGGACGCTTAAAGGCGATTTTGCCCGTAAAGAAGATGGGCGCAACAAACCCCAATTCGGCGGCAGGGGGCCTCGTTGGTACCTGAAGCTTCTTATAGACCGGCCTTTTTATTTCTTGGGGTGATACTTTGGCAGCACTAAATTGGAAGTAACTATTACAGCTTGTTGGCAGAACCACAAAATGGATACGAGATAAACAAGGGAAGTAAAATCAAAGGCAAGGTGTTAAGGCCAAAGCAAGCCACCGCAGCAAGCAGGCAATGAGCACAGAGCAACCGACATCATAAACCGACTGCAGACAACATGCGGAGCCATCAACTGGGACACGCGTGTAAACCATGCAAGCCGAAACAATTTGTGTCATGGATGCCTGACCGGCTGTGCTTGAAAGACGGGGTTTCAGAAGCACCTTGCAAAGCTTGGCAAAACGCGTTTCTGATTTGTTTTTGACTTCGTTTCTCGGGGGTTTGATATGTTTTCCGCGTTGTGCGCTATGTTTTTATCTCACTCGATATGAACTCTCTCTGAGCGAGATGGTGTCATGCGTCTGGATAATCTTGTTTGGCATGGCTGTGTGATGTGTCTTTAATGTGTCTTTTGTTGCCTCCTGTTTGCATCATGGTTGTGCATCAGCGGGTAACCCCAACTACTTGTTAGTAGGATGTCGTTTTCTGTTGGACTTTTGTTTGGCAATTCTGATTTTCTCGGCAGCATGGGAAGCTCGGTTCGCGGGCAGTCGGGTTGTTCATTCCGGTTCAGGTGGCGCTATATGGGTATGGCTTTATTTGAGGGTGCCCCTTTTAGGCTTGTTTGCATAAGGAAAAACACAGCATTTGAGGCTTCCCGATTCGGGGACAGACGTCTCAGAAGTGAGTTTCCCACCTGTCCTGTTGGACGAATGCCGTGCTGGCAGCCCAAAAAGAGTGCTTAGCCCCCAAGAAAAGACACCCAGCTCAGGAACTGGAGGCTTGAAAAGCTCTTTATGGGCGCAGAGCTGGGCGAGTATCCTCTGGCGGAGAAGATGAAGGGCCGGCCGGCCACTTGGATGTGAGCGTTGCGGAAGACTGAAATTTAGGGCCACCTCTCACTGACGTTTCTGGGAAGACTATTTTAGCAGCAAACAAAAAGTAAAGACTGTTTTTGGCCAATCCACTCAGGAAGTGAGACTTTTGAGATGCCGTGCTTTTCAAGAGACGAAGTGGTCACGGGGTGAATCACAGATTCTATTTTATATCACAACCATGCCACTGAGTGTGAAATTGTGTCTCGCTTCACCTTGTGTGGGCCCGCTTGCTGGCGGTATCCTAAGATATGTTGTACGTTTCTGAGCTTGCGGGCTTTTGGAGTGATCAACCGAACCGCTTAAGAGGGGAGGCGTGAAATGCGAATCTATGGGATGCGCAAGAAGGTTGGCCAGGTGGTGTTGCTTTTGCTTAGCTGTGGATCGAAACATCGTGTCGGCTCGGGTTGGTGGATCGGTCGGGAGACCGGGTGTGGAGTGGCGGGAGGGTTTTACAAAGGGCTCGGACCTTTTTGGGCCAGTCTGTCATAGTAAGCCAGCACCTGGGCTTTTCAGGCTGATGGCTTGTGGCAACACACTTTTTGCAAAGAATTACATGTAGTCGCTACTGTCAATGACCTGAGGTGACTGCAAGCATTCGAGAGAAGGACGGCAAGATCCAGATTAGCATGCGGATTGTCAACACCCTGAACTTCTTTGCAACATCGAAAGCAGATACCTCCCTGGCACCTTTCGATGCTTTGACCATCACCGGCCCAGGCGGGCTTGTCTGCCCAGAACAATTAAGGGTCTTGAAAATTTGAATGGGTTGAGGGGACTTTAGAACCAGCTAGAAGCCAGCAATCTTTATTCCCCCGCGACCGGGAATGTTGGAGACCGCATTCCTGGGCCATTCAATGAGCCATGGTAAAGCCAGCAGATGATTGTTAACTGAAGATTTGATGTCGTGCAGCCCCTTTGCATTCCGCTGGCCCGAAGCCAAGCAGAACAGCAAATCTGGGTTGTGCAACAATGTTTCAAAGCAGTCCAAGACATGCGAGAATCCACCATTCTCCGCTGGATTGTAAAATTGTTACAGCAGACCGACTCCACCAATGCCTCTTTGTAGTTATTTTCAGCGGGGGGGGGCTTGTGATGGACTTGGACGAAGCAAGCAAGGGAAAGTTGGATCATGGAAGAATGCCAGCAACAGCATGCTGGTTTACGTGTCATCGCCACATTTTACATTGCACGAGGCTTGCAGAAGTGGCTTCAGTCTTCCCAGAAGCCCACAACGTAGAGATGGACAGCAATTGCCGGCTGCTGTGGATTCTGGGTTCTTTGCCACGGCTATGGTTCGTTCATCCCCACCCCCTTAAAAATGGAGTTGGGGGGTGACGAAATCCATTTCTGGTTCCATTTTCCCTTTTATTGGGAAGACTAGATAAATGGAATCGGGGGCCCCCCACCCCCCTCCCCCCCTGCAGCAGGGGGGATGTTCGTTCACCAGACAATAAAATGGCACGGAACTTTTCCGGGTTGGTTTCCTGCAAGGCATCTCCACCATGATGGCCGGGCCTGAGAGCATGATGCAGACAGAAGGCGCAGTGTCCCGAACCTCAGTTGTTCAGTGGCACCAATTGTTTTTCCCTTTTCTTTTGGTGGCTGCCCCACTAAAAGTTGTCTTGCCAAAACAGGGTTCCTTTTTTTCTCCAGGGTCACTGAACAAACAACTGAGGAGCTCTGCCGAGCGTTCGTAAGTGGCTGGTGAAAGATGGCAAGCTCATCATCAGCGGACCCACTATGGAGATGACCTTTGTCCGGCCTAGCGAGGAGCCTGCGACCACCGAGGAGATATAGAGTCGGGCAAGGCTAAGATTGCTCGAGCACACCTCCCCAGCCCTTCAGATGCCACTCCTTAAGCGTCAACTTCTGGTGCCTTTTGGTGGGCCGGGCATAGGAAAGGGCAATCACGGCCTTTTCGGGCTAAATGAGTGGAGCATGGAGCAGTTTGCTTCCACGCCCGTTGGTTCTTAAGCCATGGCTCAGGTTTCCACACCCAGCAATCTTATTTAGCCGTTGGCGTGCGGTCGGTCCTGTCGGTTTTGGCCGGCGGCCCTGCAGCCTGGAGGCTAGGAGCAGCGTAAGTGAGCCAGGTGAGACACCCCCTCGCAGGCTCTGACGTTTCATGTCTGTCCGAATTCGGACGAGGCAAACATCGGCGCCAAAGGACATTCATACCACACAGCTCCAAACACAAAGAAGACCACATACAAGAACATCCACAACACGCCGGCAGAGTTGGCGGATTTCGTGTTGTTTTAACAGGCATTTGTTAGGCGGTTTTGTGTTGCTTGGCACTCTTTGAGTCGAACGTTTGTTTGTTTTGTTAGCGTGTCTTTTTTAGTTAATGGCTGTCGTCTTGTTGGTTTTGATTTTGCACTGTCTGAATATCACCATGGGATAGACACTGCCATCGGCCATTGCTCCATGCGAATTGACAGCAAGAGGTTCCTCAGTCGCCACAAGTCCCTCCCCAATGTAAATATGTCTTCAAGCGAGTTCTGTTGTATCTTGTTGGGCTCGTTTCCTCAGGGTGTATCACCAACAGGATTTATCGGATTAATCCCTGGTTGTTGTGCCTGAACATAAGCCTCGGATGTACTCGAAGACTCGTTGTCCTTTTTTTGCTCGCACAAAACGTGGCCTGTCTCAACATCTGGGAAGGTCTGCGGCTTTCTATGGGGTAACGGCATCTTCGGCCCTGGTAGGACCCGGCGGACAGCTCACCTGCAGAGCCTGCAGCGAATTGATTGCATCGGATGGCTGGCGCTGTCGGTGACGGCAAGGGAGTTGTTGAATGGGTGATCCCTTTTTTATGGCTTGGGTGTGTCTGAAGAGGCAAAACAACCAACACGGGTTGTTCTCCATTTGGAAGTTCCTAAACAACCCTAAAAAGGGAAGGTATACCCACGTACCAACGATCAACAAGAAAACTGTTAATATAGTTGTATGTCGACGAAGCAATGGAGCAACATCTTAAGGATATGGGTGTGTGTGTACTTTTGCTGGGGACGCCGGAATGATTGGGTTTCCTTGTGATTTCCATTTAGAACCACCAAAGCAGCGAGTACCCTCAAACACAAGAAGCCACCCAATATTGCCCATAGCTGACATCAAACCCTGATGGTTTCCTGCTGGCTTCCTCTTCCCGTGTTTAGTCTGGCGTCATTTTGATATAAACAAGACCTCCTCTTGGTTGCGTGGCTTCGATTTTCCGTCGGGGCTCATTTTCTCTTGGGTTCATTTCATGTGTGCGTCCGTTTGCTTTCCTCCCGGGTATCCGTTGGTTCCTTTGAAGTACCTAGCTGTGTGAGTACCACGCGATCCCTCCAGCATTTCTTGCTTTATGTCGGCTATGTGGCCTTCCCCTATCGGGAAACCAACATGATGCTTAAGACTCCCCCATATAGCTGCCGGTGGAAACACCGCACTGTTATGCTTGTATGGCCAGCTGACCTTGTGAAACGAGCTGACAATACGAGACCTTTACTTGGGGATCCATTTCTTATGTCCGCTTGTGGGTCCATTGTGGAACAAAGCGGGCTTTGTGATTTTTCCGCGTAGCGCCTTTTTCAAACTGGTTGAAAGGCTTCAAACGGAAGGCCCAAAAACGTGGGACCAATTTTCATACCCGTCCATCTCGTCCGAAACACAGACAAATACCCATCCACTTACCACCAACTGTCATGCCAATTTTCATGCCTATCCATTTCTGCCACCCCAAGTGTTGCCTTATTTTCCAGACCTCTGCACCCAGATGGAGCCAAGCAGGTTCCCTCGCGGGTAGCTGAGGCCGAGCCGCTGCCGGAGAAGAGCCCTGGGTCGCACAGGTTTCGATACAGCTAAAAACCACCTTCTTGGCAAGGGGGTCTTCAAAACCGGGCTTGTCTGATCCTATGGCAAAAGGGAAATCATCCTACAATTGTGGAATCTTGAGGGTTCAGGTCAGCAAGCTACCTTTTCCAGCTGATTGAGAGGCTCCCCTTGCAACACATGTATTGTTGGACGTATCCTTTGAGGGGCCTTCACGTTGAGCCTTGGGAAATCCCGGAGCGGGGGGGTGTCTAAAAAACATGGTGAAAAACAACAAACGTGAGTGTTGAAGTTCTGATTGGAGACTTGCAAGCTTGGCCACAACAAGTTGTTTAAAGTCCGGGGAAGTTTTGAGGTGTAGATCACTAATCGCTAAGTTGGCGGAAGTCGGAGCTTTGGGTCAGGGTATGGCAATCCAAAAATGTTCAAAGACTGAAGCTTTTGGCAGCTTGTGATCGTGGCAACAGCGGGTGGACTGCCTTCACCTTGTTTTCGCTGATTAGAGGGGCATTGATTGGAATTGGGTCCTCTGTTTTAGCACGTGTTTTCTTAATTCAGGATCCTGTGACGGTTTTGGGGTCCTTGTGGCAAGTTTGTTTGTCGAGAAAACACGCCGGAACAAAAACCAGGACAAAACAACAACTGGCCAAAAAAGTCGGGCAAGACAAAGGCAAACAATTCCGGGCAAGCATTAGGTGACTGTTTTGGGATCCTCTTTAGTGTCCAACTTTTTGTCGGGGTTGCTGAAATTCCCAAATTAAAGCCTTAGTCTTTTACTTTTAAAGGTGGTTCACCTAACCAAGCTCTTCCCAGATCAAAGGGTAAAGGCCTTAAATCTAGGAAAACCATTTTGCAAGCGGTCGTAAAGCCATCAAATGTAAGGCAACTTCTTTGCAAACCCATACGGGCAAACAATCACACCCACACACAGAGGGTTGCCCACAAGAGGCCCTGATCCTCTTTAATGTGTCTGTTTTGGGGCTCTTTCGTGTCCAACTGTTTTTCGGGGGGTTGCTGGCAAAACGGGCTCTTCCCTGCTAACTTAGAATTGGCAATGCTGAAGTAAATGCAGGGAATTTGAGCGTTTGTCTTGGCAATACTAAATTTAGACTTGGCAATACTAAAGTAAATACGCGGAATCTGAGAGTTAGTCTTGGCAGTACTAAATTTCGACTTGGCAACGCTAAAGTAAAGCTCAATTTGGTCTTGGTAGTACTAAAGTAAGTTCCGGGGAATCTGACAGTAAGTCTTGGCAATAGTACATATAGTCTTGGCAATAGTAAAGTATACACGGACTAGCAAGTCCAAGCCCCGCCCAGACTCCCAGGAATTTCACCAAAGAGGGTGTGGCTGACCCGTTCGACTGTTCCAGGGGGCACAGTGAAGAGGGTCCAACATTACTTTCTGGTTGAGCGCCGGGTCAAAACGCTCATAGGAAGCTTCTTTCATCGTCGCTTGCTACTGAAACTGGGGCTGAACAATCTTCTGAGGACCGCTCCGGAGCCGCCAGCCAAGCCCGCCACGCTGCCGGCCCAAGTGGAAGAGCCGCCAGCCAAGCCTGCCACTCTACCGGCCCCCGTTGAAGAGCCGCCAGCCACGCCCGCCACGCTGCCGGCCCCCGTTGAAGAGCCAGCCAAGCCCGCCACACTGCCGGCCCCTGTTGAAGAGCCAGCCAAGCCCGCCACACTGCCGGCCCCCGTTGAGGAGCCAGCAACGCCTGCCACACTGCCGGCCCCCGTTGAAGAGCCAGCCAAGCCCGCCACACTGCCGGCCCCCGTTGAGGAGCCAGCAACGCCTGCCACACTGCCGGCCCCCGTTGAAGAGCCAGCCAAGCCCGCCACACTGCCGGCCCCCGTTGAAGAGCCAGCCAAGCCCGCCACATTGCCGGCGGAAGAGCCAGAGGACCGAAGCTCCTTTAAACAAGCAGACCCTGGCCCCTTTGATTCAAGGGAACAAAGAAGCTGTAACAAAAGGTGGTTGAAGCATGTTCCAACGAGGGGTTGAACCTTGAGGAGGCGGAGGAGCAGGAGGAGGAGGCGGAGGAGGAGCCAACTCCCGCGGTGAACAACACTCTGCAGATGGAGTGGGAAGAGAGTCTTGCTGCACTGTCGACATGTCGCCTTGCTTGCCAAGGGCATGTCTTTGCATGTATAGTTTAGCATGTTGCTTGACAAGGACTGCACATGCTGGCATGTGTTGTTGTTTTTGTGTTTCTTTCGGTTCATGTTCAGTGATGGGCTGCAAAGAACAACATGTTCTTGGCAATTACCAAAGGTTGGAACGCTCATGCGTTCTGGAGGAGTTGCAAGCTGTACCTCCCTCCCTTGTGATTTGAGGACCCAAGGAAAGTAGCAATACGGACCACTGGGCTTCTGGGCATTTGGTAATGGAAGGCAGATTCGGTGCTTATATCGATAGCCCACGCCAAGAAAGGTAACCTATTCATGTTTGTTGAATAGAAGTTGTTCTTTCCTGTTTGATGGGTTCCCCACCAAAACGTTACTCCCAACAGAACATCATGGAACCTAAAAGCCAGCCTCAGACGCGAGGAGGGGTGCTATTGGGCATGTGTGTTCCAGGTAGGTGGCTTGAACACGGAACCCGTGGGAAAGCTATCAGGAAGCAGGGCGGCCTGTGTTGCTACAGCGGTGACAACCCCGCGGACACCTGCGGCAGCTGCTATCCCACGGCGGTGGCATCTTACAAGAGCCCCTGCGCCTCAGGGACCCTCGGCGAAAGCGGGCGGGTCGTCTGCCTTGTGAGTTGGACTTGATGCTTAGGTTTCTGGCAAACACATCGGACTTGTCGTTGCACGGAGAAAGTGATAAGTTTTCGGGAATAGCGCTTTTTTCATTGAGTGTTCGTCCAGGGGTTGAAGGGCTGAGTTGTCAACACCCTGCATTCGCATGTGAGTTGTTTGGTCAGGTGCAGCCCCCGAGAGATGGTTCAAATGCCGTTTTGCGAAGAAACGCCAACCCGGTGCAGGCAATTGAAGGTTCGTGGGCACATTCCCCAGCACACATAGACCCAAACTGTGTATTGGTATTGTCAAATGTTCCAGTCACCTTTCCCACCTTTCGGATTTCCGCGCTGAAACCTCGCCAACAAAAATCCGATGGAATGACTCTGTGAGGAAGTACAAGTGCATGTCCTGCGGCGGCAGCTGGTGCCAGCCCAAGTGCGTCATGGGCGCGGCGGACCCCAAGAACAAGTGCAAGACCGCCTTCCCCACAGGCCGGGCCATGTCTTGGACCCGTTGGCCCACCTTTTTGACGGAAACTGAGAGGCTTCTCTCAAGAAAATGGGGGGGGGGCATTCCGCATTCCTTGTGTTTTCGAGGGTGCCTTTGTGACCTTAAGGGAAAACGTGCAGAGGGATGGGCAAGAATGGGGGGTTCTTGCCTTTGGCTTGTGACATGGGCGTGTCTCATCTCATAGTTTCTTTCTGGTCTGCCTCTGAAACACTATCAAATGGGGGTACCTTCAAAAAGACACTCTTCTATGACCTGGTATAATATAAGGCGTGTGTTGCATGAAGGCTTAGAGTCTGGATTCATTTCTCGTACTATGCGCGTGTGCGTTGGTATCCTCTTTTTGGGGGTGAAGTGTGTTGGATCTTTGCCCTAGAATTAGTTAAATATTGTTTCGTATTTACACATGTATACTGTTGGCAGGGGGTAGCCATCAAGTTGCAAAGTTAGTTTTTAGGTTGCCCGCATATACATTCTGGGATACCAAGCGAGGTTTGACAAAGGGGGTGATAATCCATTTGGGAGGTGGAGAGAAACGCCTGTCCTTCACAATGCTTGGGGCATGCACGGAAGAGAATGGAGGATAGTGCGCGGCTTGTGGGTGGCAATTGCTTCTTTGAGCTTCGGCCTTGGCTGCGTTCCTACCTTCCCACAAATTAAGATGTGCACAGACCGCTTTTGGAAGACTTATGAGAACGGGGTTAATGCACTTCCATGTTTGCTGTGGGGGGGGGGGGAGTCATGAGTGTGCTTAGGCAACCCCCAGCAATTTCTCGCAAGCGGGCTCAGCCTCGCAAGCCCACAGGAGATGCGTGGCATTGTTGCAAGAGGAGGGCCCTGTTTGCAGGAAAAATAGAGGTGGGCAGGCAGGTTTGGGGTTGGAACAGCAGAGCCCTAGGTTCCATAGCAGAACTTAGGCCGAACCAATAGCCCTCTTCAGGCTCAAGTTCCCACCCTCGAACATGGCCCCTTCGCAGATCCATGTCGAATCTGGGCATACTGGTGGCCTCTTGTCCCATCAGCTTCAACCCTCTCCCAAGACACAAGAGCACTCTGAACATGGAACCCGAAGCATAGAGGAGTTTCCTCGTACCCCTTCGGTTTGACTTGCCCTGGCATCCCAGGACGTTAAACATATGAGGGCCTGTGACCCCACGAGACCTCAAAAAGGGAAAAACGCGTCTTGGGACCTCAGGCTTGGCAAATGTGGCTGTGGGTCAATACCAATGGGATCCCATTTTGGGGTAGGTGCACCGGGATGTTCAAAGGGGCCATGACTTGGATCTTGACCCATGGCCATATGAGGGCCTGTGACCAAGAGACTTCGAAAAGGAAACGGGTCTTGGGACCCTGGGCTTGGCCTCCTGTGACTTTCGCTTCGGTGCTCGGCCCGAAGGCATCGCGGACTCCAAGAGCACCTGCGGCGCCAACGCCAAGACCTGCGCGGCCTGCGAAGGCGAATGGTGCAGGACGGATGTGGCTCCTGTTTCTGACGATTGTTACCTGTTCTGTGGGTTGGTTCCAACCATTTATTCTTGAGCTGGTTTCCTATTGAAAATTATGGCATGGTGGTCAACCCGAAACTGCTTGGAGTCGACTAAATATGGAACAGGGTCAGGAACTATGAAGTTGAGTCCAGACGTGGTCTCCTCTGGCTGCTTTGCCTTTGACCATCCAAAAGGTCCCCTCCACTTCAGTTTTCTCCTTTTCCCTCACTTCGCCCCGTGCCTCCTTGGGCCAAAAGTTATTGGGTGGAATGGGAGCAACCATTGCCCAACCCCTGGGTGAGCACCAGCAAGTTGGTGCACGCAAAAATTGCTGCAAACCAAACAATATAAACAGCAGTTGGGGATTGCTTGAAATACGCATATCTATATATACATGTATATTATGTATATTATACACATATATAATATACATAAATGAATATAGGTATATATATATATATGTATACATATATATATATATATATATGTTCATTGATGTGTGTTGAGAGTAATATATATATATATATATATGTATGTATGTATGTATGTATGTATGTACATACTAATTTGCATATACATACATATTTCTATATGTACATATGGATACGTCGTGTATATATATATATATACATCTTCATTGCTGTTCTCGAGGACCGGCGTGTCCTCGGTGCCGGAGGCCCACAAGGGCCCTGTGAGCAGCTCCGACGCTGCCCGGCCGCAGTTCACCCTGGGTCACTTTTCTACTGACCGGCAAAACTTCCCCAGAAGCAGTTCCCCTGTTTTTTGTTGTTGTTTTTTGGGGTCCTAATTCCAGCCAGCGACACAGGGGACCCAGCTTTGGATGGTAAAAGGGCCAGCAAGAAGCCGCCTGCCAAACAATTGAGCTGCAGGGCGCATTGCTAGACGGAAATGCTGGGGTTGAAAGGGATGGAGATAGTACTGCCAGCAAACCCAAATAGGGTAGCCTCAACAAAACTCTGGAGGGGCCTGGGATACCAAATTCTGGCTTCCGGCATTTGGACCCTTCTAATCACATCTGGCATTGAGGAACCAATAACTTTAGGACCCCCATGTACTGATTCGGAGCCATGGGGGGAGCCAAATTCCACTAGCAACTATCAGTGACTCTTAGGGCCCAAGGACCGCTAAGGGCCAGTGGCCCCTTGCTGTGGCGCTCATTTGTTTCTTGAGTTTGGGTGAGCTTGACTTTGCGTTTTGGTTGGAGCGTACCTTTGGGCAGTTCACTCGGCAGGCCTCCAGTGGCCTTTTTGCTTTGGCGCGCCTTCAAAACCAGCCAGCCAAAAGGGTGATCTATGTCCATGGCAATCACCTGGAGATCGAGGTTACTGTTGTGTTGGTTGGGGTTTCTCGAACTTTCAGATCACCACATGTGTATCGATGTAACTTCCAAAAGCCTCTTTTTTTCCCACCCTTTTCCAGCAGTGAACTGGAAACAAGTCAAAAAGCAGGGCTTTTTGCCATTTATCCAAGAGAGCCAGTTTTCCCAGCCATTTCCAGTAGACCGAGGCCTCCATGTCGGGCAATGAACCGCCGAGGCTTCCATCGCCACATCCACGGTGCAGGGCTTCTGCTGCTACCGCGGCAACGTCTTCGCCAAGAACATGTGCGGCGCCTGTGAGGACCGGAATTTGGGCTGCCGCCAGGTGCCCAGTACCGCCCGCCTTTTGGTTGGCGGCGTTTCCAGCGGTTTTTTCTTCTTTTTTAGAAGGGCGGCTCGCCTTTTTTGGAAAACCCAAAGACAGAAGCATGAATAAAGATATCCATTTTCGGGGTTCTTCAAAACAGGACAATTCTAAATACCTGGAGTCTCCATGAAACTGCGGCCATGACCCCCCCCCACACATTTTTCCAGGGTCCTCCAGTCCATTTGATTGAAGTGGGGCCCGCTTTGCACAAACCTTTCTATGGCAGAGGTAGGACAAGCTCCCGACTCGTAGGACGTGTCGATGGACATTGCGTGCGCCAACGTGGCAGGATGTGCCATAGCGAGCAAACCAGTTTCCGGTCGGCTGGACCCAAAATTGAAACGTGGCCCGGGGTTTGACGGCCCCTTTTCAAGGAGACTTTAGGGCTTATCGGGTTGCTCAGCCGAAGGCGCAACTGATTTTGCCAGAGGCAAAATCCAGGGCTGAGAGGGGGGGTTCTTCGGGAGTGTATGTGGTTTGCCACATGATCGGCGTTCACGTGTCCGATTTCGAAGTTGGACCCAGCGAGTGATTCCCAATGTTGCCCACTTGCGACTTTCCACCATCCAGTGGGAAGCAACGCACGAATTGGGAAGGAATGAAAAGCACTGCGAACCCAAACAAAACACATTAGCCAAGGGAGAACAAAAGCTCCCCTTGATTCGACGGTTCTTGGGCTTTTACATGGGTGGCCCAACAAGGTTTGGCAACCTTCTAGGCAAGCTGTGTATTTGTGACCAGGTTTGCACCTTGCGCTTTTTGCAATTTGGAGTATGTAAGACGACTAGCAAGTCCTTTTTCCCACTTTGAGCACAGTGAGCTGCAGCATTGCACCTCGAAACTTTGCACAGACGGTCAAAAGCTGACGCAGATGGCAGGGTGTGGTGTGTTTTTGTTTCCGATGTTTTGGTGTTTTGGTGCGGATACCATGTTTTCCTCACCATACTCTGCTATAGTTTTGGGTGAATTATATCGACCTCTCACGACCTCACCCCAAATGGTGTGGGGAATAGCCCCCAAACCACCTCATTTCAGGCTGGTGAAATATTTTAGTTGGACCTCTCTTTGTTTGGACCCCAAACAAATCAAACCAGGTGGACCCGCCCGGTTGAGGTGGCAAGTGCGGAGGCACCTGGTGTGCTGGGCCTCGTTGCGTGAAAGCCTACAAGGAGCGGGTTGGGTTTTGAAGCCGCTGGGGCGGAGGCATGTGGAATGCCGCCCTTGGAGGGCATCTTGGTAGAAGACCTTGTGGCTGAAGATATTTTCCTGGCGCAAGGGCATCTTTTGTTCATGTGTGCATGTTCAGAGGTTCTGGAGTTTCTCCCAGGTTGCTGGGCGGGGTTTAGGGACGCTGAGTCCGACAGTTTTATCAGGGCTTCGCACAATATTGGCTTGCTTTGCAAACCAAATGTGCCCCTGCTCAGCAGTCTTAAGTGTCCTGAGTTCAGAGGTTCAATTGGTTCGTTCTTGACATGCCCGAAAATGCGCTGATTTTGCATGCATTCTGCTCTTGGATGCCCTTTCCCAATTTTGCAGTGAGCTGGTGATGGGCAAGCGCCAAACAATCAGAAAACCTTTAGGGACACAAAGTGCTCAAGGCTTTGGCACCCGGCAATCTGTATCCTTTTTTGGATCCCGAAGTCACCCGAAGGAGGTCATGGGTGTGGAGGGGGACCCCCCAACAAGAGATAGGCAGTCAAGGGGAAGAAGGACCCGCGTGTTACTTTCTGCAGCTGTTTGCTTATAAGTCGCTGTTTTCTTCAAAAACTAATACACCCTGGAGCGTCCTTTGTTACCCAGGTCTCTGCCCTGAGCCCAAACGTAGTGCAAAGCCACGGGTTGTCAGCAACATATGGTAAACGTACACTTTGTCTTGCTTAGAGCGTTTTGCCCGAAATCGAATTGCAACACGAGCGCGCATGTCCACAACACGAGAGCAAATATCGGCAAGCGAGCGCAACGTTTAAACACATTGCATTATGTGCCTTCCTCCGAACAGATTGAAAAACACAACGCCCGGTGTTTGAAGGACCGTGCGCTTGTTAAATCATGGACTAATATCGAGTAGAAAAGCACGACTCGATTTGTTTTGACGGAACACAAATTGTGCCACATGGGGGTTCCAAGACTAGAACATGATTTCTGCGCTGCGATCTGGGCCTAAGTCTAATGCAACCTTTGTATTGGGTTTACCACGGCCAACACTTGCGACGTGGAAAAGGAGGTCAGAAGGGGCACAATGGGTGTTGACTCGGGCTCGTACTAGCAGCCAACCATACTACCAGCGTATCGATTCTGGAAGGGCTCTACGTGTTTGGGTTGGGTATCGGTTTTGGGTAGGCCGCCATTGGTTTTTGGCATATTGTTGGGTAGTCATGTGGGTCCCTTGTAATGAGAGGGTGCCCTGTTTTGGGGTTGGTTTGAATGGAAACCAAAGACGAACACCTCGTTTTCGGGGAAGTCATTCTTTGAGACAAGCACATAAAAGTTATCAGGTCGTAGTCGTTGAGGCTAGAAAAAGAAGACAGGTGGGTCCGGGCGCTCAATCAATTGGCGGCGTAGATCTGGAGTGCCAGGGGTACGTTCAGACTGATTTTTCACCAGGGAATCTCCCGAGTGTCCAAGTGACTCACATGGACCGCTCTTTGCTCTAAGCTATGTGGATTAACAACGAGGAGAATACCCTCAAGCAAAATACGGCGTTGTTCGACGTCTTGTCTTTGTTCAACGACACAGTTCTTCGAATCGGAGGACAAGAGCAACCCCTGCGGCTCCGCATACCTCACGAGCATCTCGGCTTTCGAGAATCGGAAGATATGAGTTGTTCAACCGTTTCCCATTTCGTCCGGGGTCACTTGGATGCAACCGAACCCTTTGCTCAAAGCAGTGTGTGCTGTGTGTGTGTGTGTGAGTGTGTGCGCGTGTTTTGGGTATACCATGTCGCCCATGTTTGATCAAAAACAGCCGGTGTCCGAGGTTGACATCACACCCAGCGAAAGGTTTGCATTGGGTGTGCACAGGGATATATATTTTTGCTTGTGAAGGTACAGCTTGTAGAAATCAACTGACTTCATGTAGGTAAGATCACATTTTCCTGATAGAAGGGCCTTCAGGCAGGTTCCATGTTGAAGGGTGACCTGGACCTTCCACAGAGTTTGGTGTGGGAGTGATTCTGCAAAATTGTATAGCTTGCCATTTGGATCTATATCTTAGCAGACGCGCCCCTTTTTGGACATGCTCTTTTTCTGGAGTCTGGTCCGCAAGAGGTCTTATCGGCACCCGATCGTGGCCCTAATGTATGCGGCATGCACCCGGTTCTTGGCTTTTGGCCCTTTGTTGCACTGTCAAGTTGCACGAAGATGAGGTCAGGAGGGACTCCTGGAATCTTGCTAGCATTTGGAACCGAATTGCCCCCCCCTATCTCATGGATTTCGAACGGATGTTCAGAAACTGACGGCTTTGCCAACCTTCACAAGGTGGGGCGGAATACTGTGGATGGACGGAATCCGCTTCGCACAAGTTGGGATGGATGATTTTTTAATGAACATTGTGATAAACGTCACCCACTAACTCGAAGTGGTTTTGCCCGTCCACAGCATACGGAATAATTTCCTTGAGAGAGTGGACACCTTTCTAGTATTCCATTACTTCCACGTAATTTCACTGGGGAGTACATCCCATCTATGACTCAACGGGAAACCGAGGGAACGCCGAAGCCACTTTTTCCCGGTGCCACCCAATTCCCAGTTGGCGTGATGTCTAAAATATTGCAAGCAGGGCAACAAAGTACTCTACTGTAGCTTATCGGGGGTTTGTTTGGGGTTGTGGTTGGTTCCAAGATATTGTGGCGTGCCTAGTCTTCGTGACCCGTGACTCCCATGTTTTCAAGGGCTGGAGACTCCAAGTGTGTGTGTCTTTTGGAGGCACCCTTCGGTTGGCGGGTCCCTCTATAGATATGGCGCACACAATCATGCTCCACCATACCCAGTTCAAAGATTCGCAGCACCAACTTCCGGACAGCAAGACTCCATAACTCAGCAGGGAATGACCCAGGGTTTGGGAATGAACCGGATTCCCTTAAAGGAAATCATAGGGATTGTTTTTCTTTTTTTTTAAGTCATTCCCTCATCTCCAATTCGCGGAAGCCACCGTTCTGGCGCGAGTTGAGCTAGGCGTGGCGAGTGCGAAGGACTACTGCGGCGGCTCCGAGAGCCATTGCCTGGACTGCGCGGGAGAGCCTTGGCTGTCGTGGTTGGACCTGGGCGAGGGCCTCGTGGCATCCCTGCCACGAGAGTTTGCAACCAGCCTTGTTCCTTCGCCTTTTGAAAGGGTGGTTTGTTGGCCCTTTTACTTCGCAGGGAAATGGAATCGCCAAGGCCTAAATCACAAGAATTAGTCTTTGCAGCATTTTGCTTGGATGCAAGGATTTTAACTTTTTGCCAACTAATGGGTGTTCCATTAAACCACTAAAAGTTACCCTTTTAGCAGGGGAGCAGAAAGCAACAGAGTAATGGGCTTGTGGAGTCTAAGAACTACATTTACTCATGTTTTTAGGAGTGGATTTTGGTGGACACAAGCCTATCCTTTCATGTCTTGAAAGGTGCCAAGCCCTGTCAAGGGCTAGGGAGGATTCTCTTCAGGCGCCTGTGACAGGCTGAAAGGGCCGGGGGCTGTGTCAACCATTCCATGACCAGCCGTTGCTTGCCTTTTCGTCGCTTCAACCAGATGGTCTCTTTCAGGGTGCCCCGCCATACCTGGCTCGCTGGAGGGATATGGCTGTGGGTCAATATTCATGGTACCATTTTAGTCTGTTTTAGTCGGGATTGGGATGTTCACTGAAATTACGGGGTTTAGACCCGTAGCCATATGGGTCAGACAATGGGCATATTCCATCGGAACCTTTTCCAGCGGACTCTCTGAGATCTCTGAACGCTTCCTTCAGTTGAGCCAGGCCTGGTGCTCCGCGGACAACATCACCTACATCAGCGGGGAGAAGTTCGACCCCTCCAAGCCCATTGCCGCGCCTGGAGCTCGGAGAAGAATTCTTCCGAGTGGAACACCCGTTGAGTTTTTGTGCGCGGATTTGTTTTTTCCTTAGGGGGAGCAGATGAAGGGAAACGACGGGAAGTTGGGGAAATCAAATTTGACTTTATGGGGCAGGGAAGTTGTTTGGGGGGGGGCATATTCCAGATGTTAGGAGCGACTCGGATCCAGTTTTAGCCATGCCCTATGGAACCTGATCTGGGGGCCTAAGACGCAATCCTTTGCAGGGACCCTCCGCATTCTCGTGGAGTCCATGTTAGTGAGAGGGAGTTTAATTTGCTAATTACGCTGAGAGGGATGGATCTCCTTGAAGCTCAAGGCTGAAGCCAGGTCCGAGATAAGTTTGATCCGACTGAAACCGGTGGTTCGAAGCGACGCGAGCACCCTTTGTGGGTTTTCCACACATGTTCTTTCGTCTAGGGTTGACATAGGACGAGACTCAGAACGTATGATTTCTGAGTACCCCCTTTTTGTGTGGGCCAAGCTTTGCCCCGGTTATGCTTTCCCACCCACACCATGAAACCCGGGATGTTTGACCTGCATCTCAGGTTGCGGTTCTGGTGGATCTTGGAAAAAGAGAGGGCCACCCACAGTGACAAACTCGACGTAGGAAATCTTCACCCGTGACCTTAGAGGGGTCTTCTGATTTTCCAAAGGAGACCCTAGCTAGGCGAGTTCCGATCGCTTGCACCAAAGGACGATGTGTGTAGCATATGTTTGGTTCCAGGTTTGGATCGTGACTCAACCGGGCCACGTTCCAGTTGCTTCGGGCGCGGGCCCCGACCCGGTTTTTGGCGGTCAGGGAGGAGCCGGAAGACGAGGAGGTGGAGGAAGTGGTGGAGGTGGAGCCTGAGGCCCGACCCCCCCAAAGATGAGGTAACTCTCAATCAGAGTCCTCGAACAATAGTCCACCAAAAAACGCGCCAATTGAAAACGGTCAGCCAAAACTCCTGTTTGTGGAATATGTTTGCAAAAGTCGATGGCATGTTTTTGTTTTCCGAGGACCCTGTGAATTGTTGGTTTCAACTGGTGGTTTCGGGCCGAAAAACAACCCATGTTATAGAAGTGGGAAGGTGCAGCTCTCACCTATCCTTAGCACCAATCCAAACCACCAAGAGGGAAGCTGAAATGACCCTTTTCAAGGAGCTGTTGGTCAAGCCAAGAAAAGGGTTTTCTGAGGAACATATACACTGGTTATCTAAAACTCCAGCCCAGTTTCTTTGGAGCTTCAACTATGATTTTCGTTTGTGGAATCACGGGAGTTTCTGAAAGTGGTTGGCCCCTTTTTGGTAGATATTGACCGGAGAACCAACATGATAGCCAACCATTTCATTTTGAGAAACACCCAACTTTTTGCCCAGATACTTGTGGTTTGGTCGCGAGTGACGATCCCGAGTCTGCCAAGGGCTGACAATCTCATTGCGATGAACCTCACGTATATGGAGTCTACATCCGGGGTCTCCAAAACTTTAGAATCTTTTCTTTTTTGCGGTTCGACCAAATATGGAAGCATCGAGTCGGATGTGTATTGCATTTATCTTCACTTTCTTTGTACCTCAGATGTGGGGTTCAGCAGTAAAGCCGTAAAACAAGCGTGGCGCTGGTGCTCCTTGCATGAGGATCACATCATCACATCGAGAGCCCAGTTGTGGTCACGCCCCCCAAAATGAAGTATAAGTGGGCATGTCTTGAAATAAGGGTACCCCCCAAACGGTGTTGTTTTGCTTCAGTTTCCCTTGAAAACAACCTGTAAAGGCTACGTAGCCTAAGCCTGAAAGGTGCACACCCTGTTTTCCTCAACAAAAGTGCAGCCTCAAAAATCGCATATAGTAGCCACCGCTTGGTTGCCTTCCATCCGGGCAAAAGTTGTTGTTCACCCATGAAGGTTCAAAAGCCCTTGTTTCTACATTTGTGAATAGTGGTTTGCCATGGTGTGTGTGACATAGCTTACCTACCAAGTACCCTTCCGCTGTCAAGCACTGGGTGGACGTACCCGCAGGAGCCAGTGCAGGTCGAAACCATCGACGATCTCTTCCCCAATCCGTTGGCCCCCATCCCGTGAGCGTCTCTTTGACCGCGCCGATGGCGTGGTGTCGGGGCCCTGCAAAGCAACGAAACAAGCAAGAGACACATCTTGAGATATCTTTTTGGGGGAGGGTAGGATGGTCTATCTAGATGGTTGGTGCGCGCCCGTGTTTTTCCAAAACACCCAGCTGTGCTTTCCTCGCAGGCTCCACTTGGCCTTTGTGATTTGGATTACCCGCAGGCAACCATCTACGAACTGGTTGCGCTTCCTTGTTCAGCGCCCTTTTCCCTTCTTGTTTGGTGAGTTCTCCACGAAGAATGGTCGACCCCGAAAAGGCTTCCAAACGGTGGCGGTTGGAAGCTGCCTGTTTCTTTGTGCAAAAAGTCAGACTTGGGGGAAAGGGTCAACAACCGACCTAGATTTTGGGCAAATCGAGGCTGTCATCGCAAACTGCAACGAGCAAGCGCGTGCGTAGTTGGTGTAGATGCCGTATTATCCACACAGCAATATCATGATACGGACACTGGAACACACAAACGTAAACACAAACACGTGCACAAAACAGAACCATACAAGCACAAATGCACCCAGGCACGCACGCACCCACGCACCCCATGTACCCGCGCACCCACTTACCACGCACACGCGCCAAGGCACCCCCCCTCCCCCCACCCACACACACACACACACACCCACGCACGCACGCACGCACGCACCCACCCACACACATACACACACACTCAACAGACACACCACACGAACACACCAGCACACCAACAGACTCAGAGGAGCAGAGCGGCGTGGACGTTGCAAAATGTTTGGGCCTTCGGCCAGTTCAACTGCAAGTTCCGGGGGGGGACAGGCTCTTTTCCCAGTTCCCCAATTTCAGGCTTGCACTTTTCGCGAGATTTCGCGAGGATCATGTTCATTGATAAACAGACAGTTTAGACTGCTTCTGGCTAATTAAGTCGCTCAGGAAGCGAGCTTTTCATTTGTCATACGAATGTCACACAAGCACACACACACACACTCACACACACTCACACACACTCACACACACTCACACACACTCACACTCCGTCTCGTTGCAGGGGCCTGGCTGGGAGCATTAGAATCCATGGCTGTCAGGGGCTGGAAGCTATGTGCTGGGCTCTGACCACTTTTCAGATCGGGATGGTCCCAAGAGTTTGTACATGAAACAATCTGGCAAGCTGTTTTTGCAATCAGGCCCCTTTTTTCGACCCACCAAAAAAAGCCCATGCGACCACCTTGTGAACGACCCATTACGATTCATTGAACACTCACCAGATGTCGAAATGAGGCGGGGCGGGGACACAACAGAGTATCGAGGAGCACGGCGATGATCTACATGAGAGGAGCTAAGATTGCAACAGAAACAGCATGTACAAACATCATTCAGCTACTTCTGCCTTGCAATTGTTCATGTGATGTATCAAACCACACCGTTCAAGAAAGACACTGGGTGAGCATTCAATGCGAAGGGAAATACTGAGTTCTTTCTACTTCTCGCAGGGTTTGGCCCACTCAGTTTCCATATTACTTGCTACGACATGGCCTTTTGCAGAAATCCTGAACAAAGGATTGACATATCTACTTCAGGCCTTTTCTGAAAGCTCAACACATGTTTCCCCACAGGCTCCGGTCAGCCACGGAAGCTCTGTTTCAGCGTTTGAACGGCGGCAAAAGGCCCCGGAATACCTACCGCATATGCACGGAAAACAGTGACGAGATCTGGACATGGACGAGGAGTGCTTGAGTATGCACCAGGCAGTGTTGAGCAATAATATGGAAACACAACAAAGAGAGCTAACCCCAAACCTTCACCCCGAGCGGTTTAAGGGGGCAATAATAAAGCGGCTACTTGGCCATGCGTAAACACTTTGTAAAGGGTATATATCGCCATGAGTCCTCCGGGGAAGCGGGTATTTTGTTTGGCTCATATCATTTGCTGTCCAAGTTTCCGCCCGACTTAATGCATGTTTGGTGGGAAAACAATAAGCTTCCTCTGCATATGTGTTTGCGTGTGTGTGTAAACTTCGCGTAGAATGCCTGGGTAATGCATGTGGTACGTACATTCGTTGATTTCGCAACGGTTGGGGCTTCAGGCCCTGTTTTGATATAGAAGCGGAGGGAGGACAACGCATGGAGCTGTTTGTTTCTGGTTGACCGAATCAACAGACGTACCCTTGTTGCGTGGCACTTCTACCAACTTTTTCGTTCCAGTTGGTTCCCCACCAAACATGAAGGCCCAGAACATGGACATGGGACAACCACCCTTCCCCCTTGATTCCCCAATTTTTGCAAGTGAACCAGCCACCAACTCTTGAAGACTTGGTAATGTGTGGTGACTTGTAGGGTGTGAGCAACGGAGTTCAACTGCGACATTGCCCCGTAATCGGGCAACTGCCATGGAAGACCTAAATCCGTCTTGGGCAAATCAGAGTTGATTAGCCCTCGCATGGTCAGGATCTCTTTCAACTTGATTGAAGTGAGAGCAAATGTCAAGGCATAAAGTCATACAGTTCCTGAAGGTCCAACTGGTTGCTTGCTATGCAGATTTTAGGTCGCGCTATGGTCATTCCGTCTTGGTGCCTTGGGCAAAGTCCTCCATGTCCAAAGACTGCCATACGATTGACGAGCCTGAAATCAATTGGGGACCTGGGTGCCAAGTAGCCCATAAAGTCTAATGTTCCATGATTTTCTCCGAATGAAACCCCCCAAAGGGGATGGCTATTTGTTTAATTGTTCTAACCCCCACTGATGATTCCACACACAGGAATAAGTAATTTGAGCAAGTCATAGCTGCCTCACCAGGGAAGTTTCCAGTTCCTGTCACAGGGATCCCGTATCTTCGGTGGTTGTGTTTCTGTATGGTATCTCCTCGGTGGCTTTCTCCAAAAGAGTCTGGAATTTATTTTGTTGTGGTGGTACACCATCTCGGAACGTACTTTCATGGTAAGTGGCATATAACCATGTTTACTAGTGCATCCTGAGAGAAGCCCTTAAGCAGACCTTATGATCACAAGTTTTGCTGTTATATTATAATATATATATATATACTCTATGTATACGTACTGTTCTCTCTGTCTATCGCTCTCTCTCTCTCTCTCTCTATATATATATATATATATAAATGCAGACTCTGTACGACATATATCTATATTTTGCTCATCCAACCAAATTTCAGCTCAAACCCCATTGTCCAAACGGGTCCTTTGAAGGAGACCTCTGGCTTATCCGAATTCATGCAGCCCAAGTGTTTCATTCAGATCTGGGAGGGCTGCCGGCCGAAGGGCACCAAGCCCGGTCCAGCCCATTGGCACCTCTTTCTCTTTCTCGCAGGAACCAAGCATTTTTCTCCAACTTTGGCTTCCCAAAGCCATCCTTCCCATCAAAACCATCCAAAGGTTCAAAGGGGTCCTTGGCCCTCCAACTGCGGAAATCGGACAATATGTTTGCCAAGAGTTTTGGTGGGGATCCATGTACCCCACGGAAACGCACCAGCTCCGGCAAGTCGCCCGATTCGACTCAGGTCTTGCGCCGCGGCGACACGCTGCTGGGGTCCTTTTTCATCAACAGGCGCCCGCCTGGTTCGGGGGCAAGTATATGGGGGGTCCTCAGAATGCAGCAGCCCCCATTGGGCTGGTATGTGAGCGCAAACCGCGAGGAAACTAAACATTTTGCGGGACTCACTACTTTTTAAAGAAGCACTCAGGGGCTACATCGAGGTTGAGATAATTAAATTTTGTGTTTTAACTTGTTTTTCCCAGGCTCATTCCGACTGTCACTTCGCTTGATCAAATCGAATCGACGTGAGCTGACTTGAAAGAAAGCTCAAGCTGGCCAGAGGTTCGTTTGGGCCCTTGCAAACGCGGGTCATGTCAGGTACAGCTGACTTAGTATTTGAATCCCATCGCCATTCAAAACATCAATCGGAGTTTCCAGGAGGTTAGCCCTGCTAACCTGCTGGCATTATCTGAAACATGGTATAATGTTGCAGTGTTTGACACCACAAATCAATGCGGGCATACATTCAGCAAGAGCGCTTTGAGCCTATGACCAAACAGCAAGTGTAGAACACTGGCTTAGCTTGCTTTCCCAGTGGATCCCAGTTACCCTTGTAGTAGGTAACCTGTCATTTTCCTTTCTGGTTTTCAGGGTCGGTTTCCTTCATTACCTACCAAGCCGGGTAAATTGATCACATGCCTTAGCTGGCTGACTTTGTTTTTTCTGACTGGTCTTGCTTTGCCCGGCCAGCTTGATTGTTATGAAGTATGGGCCACCCGAATGTACCAAGCTGATTGGGGATGCTTCCAGGAACCGCAAGCGTAGTCCATCCGCTGCACATCTTTGCACCTTTCAGGTATCTTCCTTCGAGCAATCAAAGCTAGGGTTGAATGTAATTTCGACTTGCTTAAGAATATGTGTTCTGGAGGGAAGGCATCAGTACAGGATGCTTTTTCCGTATCACCAACAGGATGTTTTTTCCCACGGGCCCTGAGCAAATGGAGGATAAGGAAATGATAGTCTCCTTGCCATTGTAGGTGCCAGTATCCTGTTTTGTTTTGTGGGCCACGGGGCGCAGGGGCTTTTTTCCTGCCCCCAAACCTCGCATGAATTCCGTTGTTTTTGTGCGTTGTTTTTTCCGGGTGGTTGTTCCTTCGCTTGGTATCCCCTGGAGGTCAGGTTAGACCTCAGATGACTCACAATCTAAACCGATTCGGGTAAGTGAAGCTCAGTAGGGGACAGACCGAGATAGAGCGGCCAGTCGCCCCCTTGATTTTGTTTTGGGCAGACTTCTTTGCCAGCTTTTGGTTGTGATTCGGTGTAATTGTGCAGTCTCCGTGCTCTCATCTTGCCAGGCCCTTTGATGGCTGCCTCTTGGTGCAGAACACCTGCGTAGAGTGGAGGCAGGACCGGGAAAGACGACTTGGTCTAGTTGTGGATTGTGTTGTTCTTCTACTTCATTTGACTCACTCCCTGAGTTCCTGGAGTTTATACTTTATGGGGAATTGGGCCGTACTTTGCACAATCTACTCAGTAAATAAATGTATCACCCCTAGTGCTCTGATGTTC